AACAGTTTTGGTACTTAATAATTGTTTGGTAGGAGAGAAAAGAGGAGGGAATCACTTGGGTGGGGGATTTGAACACCTTTTAAATACCCCAATTTTAATCTCTCCATATTAGAAGGAAATCTATTCTAAACACAATAATTATTTCCTTTTTTAATTTCTTTTCAACTAACCAAAAGCCTAAAGCTGTAGATTTAAAATGGTTTAGAGCAATGGAAACAAAATTAGGAAACATAACTTCGACATGATTTCAAATTTTTTCTGTTTCGGATTTCTTATTCTATCTGCAGTATTGGAACATTTTGATCAACTATGATGTCAATATTTCAAATACACATCTCCCTATTACATTAGTTAATGACTAATGTGGCTATTTATAGCTCACGCACAAAACAATAACAAAATATTCGCCTAAGACAAACGACATAAATACTAATAACAAGACAAAACTAAATTACGACAGCTTATTTTAAAATCTTCCTACATAAGATGTTTGATGTGCAAGTACATATTTTGCTGCAGAAAGATAGCACAGGCGTTAAAGAGGCACTTGATCAGCTGAGTGAAGTTGGGTGGGCCAAAAAATGGAGTTCTCAGCCATATGTGTCACGTCGTATGGTCAGTCTCCATTACAAGTATGAAGTTCTGGGAAAGTGATATTCAAACACTACTAGCCACTTCTACAAAATTACCTATGCATATACATGTACACCAATTATGTATATTTGTTGGTCACTGCTAATTGCTTTGAATGCTTTTGTCCTATGTTATTACTTGGTTGGAGAAAACTCTCACTGTTGGTTGTCTCATCATTTGGGCACAGACATCTCTCCGGGAGCTGACAACTCTCGGAATTAAAAACGCGGAAAATCTAGCAATCCCCAGTGTCAGAAATGATGTAAGTACTTGTTTCATTTGGAAAAGCCCTCAACATTCTCATTTCAATTATTTTTTCATCAAACCATAGATTAAGATTTGATAAGAATGTCAAGCTTCATATCAATTTAGTTTTTTGGATGTATGGTTGAAACCAAATTGCCAACTTGTTATTGTAAAAAATTTTCACATAGCCAATGGGATTTTTTTCCTGATAGTAAGTCTGCAATTTTACAAAACAATGGAATTACAAAGCATTGGTTTAAAACTAGTGTTTATATATTTGATATCTTTCAGTGGTACAGGCGGCTTTTCTGTTCACAGTGGTTGGGACAACTGGATTCTTAGGTGTTCTTGCTGGCCAACTTCCTGGGGTAAATTGGAGCATTCTTTATCCTTGAGTTTGTCTGCAATAAATAGTGCTTGTAAATGTATGTGTTAAAACATAAAAACTATTGTTGCCCTGCTTCCTAACAGTTTAAGCTTTTGGGATGGATTGGTAACTAATTGTATGCTTTTTCCTAGTTTTGGTTGAGCTCTTACTTAGAGTGATGCATTTTTGGGTTCATGCCACTTCTGCAGGATTGGGGCTTCTTTGTGCCATACTTGATAGGGAGCATCTCTCTAATTGTCTTGGCTGTGGGCAGCGTTTCTCCAGGGTAAGAACAAATTCTAGATAACAAACGGTTTTCATCGGTCGATGTTTTTATTTGTTTTATTCAAGTGCTTACAAACATTTTTTTTTGCAAGATTTACCATTCTCTAGAACCACAAGTGACACTTCAATCTCTAAATTTTAGGCTTCTTCAAGCCGCCATCGATGGATTCTCATCTTTCTTTCCGGATTATCAGGAGAGGATTGCTAGACATGAAGCAGCTCATTTTTTAGGTACTCACATAATACTCATATATCAAACACACTGATCTCAATCTAGAACATTAATTTTCTGGAATCATGGTTAATTCCTTAAAAAGAAAATGTTGTCTTTGATGATTTAGTTGCTTACTTGCTGGGCCTACCAATTCTGGGGTATTCTCTGGATATTGGAAAAGAGCATGTTAATCTCATTGATGAAAGGCTTGAAAAGCTGATATACAGTGGGCAGCTTGATACCAAGGAACTAGACAGGTATTATTATAATAATACTCATTAAAAATGCATCATTGCTTAATCACAACCCACTTATGTTGCCAATATATAGATGGATTTTATCCAACTCTGATAATTTCTCGTATTTACATGCAATATCTAGCCAAAAAAAAAAAACAAAAATAAAGGAAGAAGAAAGAGCCTCAGCTTAAGTCTGCCATCAGCAAGGCAGCAAGTCACATTCTATTACTATGTATCACTAATTTGTAACTCCCCATTATCTAGTTTAGATTTCATCTAAACCTTGGATCTTTACCATTATATTCCCATTTCTAGGTTGCTTCATTTTTTTTAATAAGCAAACTTCATTTCATTGAGAGAAAAATCAATTACAAAGGAAAGATGAAATCCTCTCAAAATAGAAAAGGAAAAAAAAAAAAAAAAAAGGAAGACAAACCATAGAAAATAAGAAAACTGAAAACAAAGACATTAACTCGCTATAACATTGATCCCTTTAGTTTAAGTTTAAAACAATCAAGAAAAAATGAAAATCCTTGAAAATTTATCATCGAACCCACAACATAGCTGAAAACATTTAGCCTTTTCAAACAGGTACAATCATTGATTGCTAAGTTGCTTCAATTATCATTGATTGAGCAAAATTGACCACGGTATGTTATTAGGTTGGCAGTGGTGGCAATGGCTGGACTTGCA